CAGCGAGCAGGGCGCGCTTCGGGGGGCTCCGCTGCAGCACGTACGTGACCCCGACCCGGCGCGGCCGGCCCTCCTCCGCCGCCAGCGGCAGGCACACGCACGCCCACAGCAAGACGCCCCAGTGCACCCGAGCCATGGCCACCTCCGTGCCGGCAGCGAGGAGAAAAGAAAGGGGCGGAGGCGGCGGCGGCGGCAGGGGAAGGGGCTCGCTGGGGGGGCTCAATCAGGAGCAGATGTGTGAGCGGCGCCGGGGGCCCGGAGCCGCGCGCTGCCCCGCGCTCCAAAACTCATAATCAGACACCACCAACAAAAACAAAACGAATCCCAAAAAATAAGAAGTCAAAAAAAAAAAAAGGAAGAAAGAAAAAGAAAAGAAAAGAAAGACTCCGGGAAAAGTTGTCCCGTGTATGTATATAGCCGGCGCGTGCGGGGCTGCCCGCGGTGTCACGGCGCCTCAGCCAATCTCCGGCAGACGTGACGTCAGGCGGCGCGGCCTCCTCGGGGCGGGGCGGGAGCTCTGGGCTTGCCCCTCGGAGCAGCAGCGCGGGGATCTCGGCCGCCCTGCCCCGCGGGGGAGGCCCGGCAGGCCCGGGGGCGCCTCCCCGCAGCAGACCCGTGCTAGCTGAGGCTGTTGCCAGGGGTGCGGGGATTCCTGCACTGGCAGGATGGATGTGGGATCCATACTCTAAAAAAAAAAAAAAAAGGTTGAAAAGGTAGGATAGTCTTTAAGCAGGCAAGGGTCTTTGGGTCAATCTGACCAACACAAAAGAGTTGGAAACACTCTTCTTTGCAAAGCTTGTGGGTAGAAATACCCTTCGAAAGCTGGAAAAGAAGAATTTGTCTTACCACCTCAGGACGAGCAACCCCCAACTCGGTGCCTCCTGAGTCTGGGGGGGCACCAGATCACCCATGGGGAGGGCACTTCTGCCGGCACTTCTGGTTTCACGGCTGGTGCTTCCAGGGGGTGCACATGCATTGCCAATACCCAACACACAGGTTTGGCAGCACCAAACTGACTGGCACCACAAATGAAAGGGATCTGGGGGTAATAATAGACCGCAGTATGAATACGAGCCAGCAGCGCAGTATTGTAGCCAACAGGGCAAACAATACTCTGGCATGCATCAATTGATGCATCTCCAGCAAAGCCAAGGAGGTGATACTTCCACTCTGCTCAGCACTGGTGAGACCACAGCTGGAGCACTGCATCCAGTTCTGAGCACCACGCTTTAACAAGGACATGGACAAGCTTGAGAGAGTCCAAAGAAGAGCCACCCGTATGATCGGAGTCTTACACGGCAAGCCATACAAGGAAAGGCGGAGGGATCTGGGACTCCTCAGGCTGAGGAAAAAATGGCTGAGAGGGGAACCGGCAGCAGCTTACAGCTACACTAGGAGAGTACATCAAGGGCTCGGTGAGCAACTGTTCACCAGGGCACCTGAGAGGAAAACCAGGAGTAATGGCCACAAACTCCTGGAAGATCGATTCAGGCTCAACATTAGGAAAAATTTTGCAGTCAGGGTGTCCAGACTGTGGAATAAGCTCCCTCCAGAGGTGGTGCAATTGCCTGCCCTGGAAATCTTCACGAGGAGACTAGCCAGTCACCTTCTGGGGTCACCTGACCCCCAGTTATCTTTCCTGCGTGATGCAGGGGGCTGGACCTGATGATCTTCTGAGGTCCCTTCCGGCCTTACATCTATGAATCTATGAACCTCGTCTGCCTATGTCCTTAGACTAACACAGCTACAGCCTATACCCCAGATTATTTTTAAGGCAGTTAATTGATGCAGCATATGCAAAGCCCAAGTCACTGTCAGAGGGTGCATCTTCACATTGCCCTACCGCAACATTGTGGCACAGCATGCTACAGTGACATAGCGATCGCATGGAAATACACATGGGCGGGAGCTATGTCGCCATGGTGGTATACTCCCCGGTATGGCATGCTGCTACAGTGACATAGTGGCAAAACCTAACTGTGAGCACAGCACAATAACCACTCATATTGCATTCTTTTAGTACTTCCAAAAGGAAGTACTAAAGCATGGTGAAGTGTAGACATGCCCAAAGAGTCTTACCCACCTTGGGATGGAGAGGGGGAGGATGGGTTGTTTTGTTTTTATTTAAAATTTTCCATGGTCCAAGCCAAATCAGCCAAATCAATTCTAAATCCATGAGTCAATCCAGAACCATAAGTGGCCCTACTACTGACAAACTTCTTCCACCACCATCTGGGGCTTCAGATGTTCCCAAATCCTTTGGCGGGCATCCTACATGCAGGCCCAAGCCCAGAGGTTTAGGGTTTGGATACCCTGAATTTCAGCTGCCCTCAGCCATATGGCCACAGGAACAAGCTAGGAAAGAGTCTCCCATTTCCACGAAGTGGGTATAAAGCCAAGATCTTGCCATTCCAGCAGCTAACTAGGAGCTTAACTATGCATTACCTTTGCAGGTACTACCCCCATGCCAGGTAAACAATCTTCTTCAGATATGATTACAAAAAGTGCCCCAGTGATCATAGTCAAATTTCCCCTGCCAGGTGAATATAGAGGCAGATTTTTTATAATTGTTTACTTCAGCATAAAAACAATACTTCCACTTTGATGACCCAGTTCTCACTCACTGACAGGCAAGTTACAGTGAGCAAAATAAATAAGATGACCTATTTGCATAGTTATTTGCATACTTACTTTTTTACAATAGTTTTTCAGCAAATATGATAATTTCAAGCTTCCAAGATAATTTCATATTTGAGACCTGGCAATGTTGCTGGCTGTGCACCTGGTAGAATGAACTGACTTATATAAGGCAGGAGCACCCCAGGCACAGGCATCCCTTCCTCACCCAGGAGGGTAGTACAAGCACTGAGGGTACTCAGAGAGGTGGTGGCACCTTCATCCTTGGAGGTGTTGGCTAGACAAAGCCTTGGCTGGGATGATGTTATTGGGGGTGGTCCTGCTTGGAACAGGGGTTGGACTAGATCAGCATTTCTCAACTCATGGGTTTCAAGAATATACGAAAGGGTTGCCAACAAACTTTAAAAATGGATTCTCCTTTAAAAGAGAAAAATGTGGGAAACTGTGGTTTTTCCCTTGCAGGCTGGCAGAGCTCCAGGCTCCTTGGGACCACTGGCAGGGCCAGGGGGCTGTTTTCTACTTAAACTGTTTACTGGGTCAGGACTGACCATCAATGTTTACAAATGGGTCCTGGTACAAAAAAGGTTGAGAACCACTGGGCTAGATGACTTCCTGAGGTCCTTTCCAACCCTCATTTTCAATGATGCTATTATTCTATGTACACCTGGGATTTGAATTGCTCGGGTCTCCTCCCATAAGGCTCGTCTGGCCTATGACTGTCATCCTGTGACACAAGGTTTGTTTTAAAAATAAATAACATTCAAAAAACAAATGAAGCACTCTCTCAAGAGAGCACTAGTCAGCAACAACTGCTGCACAGAAACCTAGTACACTGAACTGGCCAATATGCCTAAATCCAGTATATTAAATCAGGCCTGGTCTTTAATGTATGGGTCTAAGTGGCCATCTGTGTGGATCATATTCCTGGATCAGGGCCTAAGGCTCCAAATCCAGGTTTACACAAATGCTTAACTTTATACATGTAAGAAATCTCATTGAAATTGCTGAAGTTATTTATACAGATAAAAGTTAAGCACACACTCAACTCTCTAGCACCAAGACCTTAGATTGTAAGCTAGTAATGTAATCTTATTCAATTGTTTTAAGGTGTGAAATGTCACATACATCAATGACACTAGACAAATAATAAATAAAAGTAAACACCTTGAATACAGTGTATAAAGAAAATGGCCCAAATCCATCTTAGGGTAAATGTACCAGCATCACAAAAGAACTAATTCCAGTTCTCTTTATTTCATTTTTATAACATTTTAATCACAATTTCTTTAGTACTTGAGAAGAAAAGTTTAACAAAATGCACTCCAAAGATTTCATCCTTTAAAACAGGGCTGTCTAACTGGCAGCTTGAAGGCCATGTGGCCCAGGAGGGGTTAAACTGTGGCCCCCAGGTGCCCACCTGGTTGCTGCTCCCTGCATTGCTCCAGCTGCAGCAGGCTCCCTTTGTGTCTGGCTTCACCTTCCTAGCCCTGCCCCAGGAATCAGGGCAATGCAGCACTAGCACAGCCTGCAGTGAAGGAGAAGCCTGTAGCCTGGGCTGTCTGAATGGCATAGTGCAGTGGGGGAACTCAGGGCAGGGAGCTAAGGATAAGTCAGGTACCTGGTCACATGGTACCTGTGCACTGCAAAGGCACCCTGCATAGGGGCACAGCAGGGTAGTGCAGGGTGCAGCAGGGAGACGCTCTGCACACAATTCAGTGGCAGAGGCACCTGGGCATGTGGTGTGGCCCCTGCTATTGCAACCCCTGCTAACGTGGCCCAAGGTGCACATGACCCCCAGCCACTTAGAAGCTGGACAGCCCTGCTGTAAAATTGTTCGGAAATATTGTTGGGCTAGTGCAGCCTCAAGAACTACCAGGTACCTCCATGGATGGAAAGTGGAACAAGGAGTGGAGAAAATGGCATAAAACTATTCATGTTGAATCAGACAGTTTGCAATCTGAGACTCTTTACCAGGACTCTGAGGATTGGTTGAGCCCAGCCCCAAGCTGACTGGATTTTGTA